GGCATCCAGTTTTGGTCACCACGATGTAAAAAAGATGCTGAGACTCTAGAAAGAGTACAGAGAAGAGCAACAAAGATGATTAGGGGACTGGAGGCTAAAACATCTGAGGAATGGTTGCTGGAATTGGGTATATCTAGTTTAACGAAGAGAAGGACAAGGGGGGACATGATAGCAGTGTTCCAATATCTCAGGGGCTGCCACAAAGAAGAGGGAGTCAAACTATTCTCCAAGGCGCCTCAGTGCAGGACAAGAAGCAACGGATGGAAACTAATCAAGGAGAGAAGCAACCTAGAACTAAGGAGAAACTTCCTGACAGTCAGAACAATTAACCAATGGAACAACCTGCCTCCAGAAGCTGTGAATGCTCCAACACTGGAAGTTTTTAAGAAGAGACTGGACAGCCATCTGTCCGAAATGGTGTAGGGTTTCCTGCCTGAGCAGGGGGTTGGACTCGATGACCTCCAAGGTCCCTTCCAACTTTTTTATTATTATTATTATTATTATTATTATTATTATTATTATTATTATTATTATTATTATTATTATTATTATTACTACTACTACTACTACTACTACTACTACTACTACTACTACTACTACTACTACTACTACTACTATTTACTAACCAAGTCTGATCCTGCTTAGCTTTTTGGAAAAATACAAGACTGTTGGCACAGCTCTGCATTCTCGTTTAGGCTATTTTATTGATTTGATTTGGGCACCACCAAACTCTAAACTGACTTTGCTTGGCACACAATATAAAAGAGCAAGTTCAAAAGTGCAATGAAATAAACAAATAACGTCAAGTAAATCAGATGCAACTATATGCCAAATATATTCAACATGGAATTCCATGCACCCTAACAGGGTTATGCTAGACCAGTGTTTCAGCAACTTTTAAGATGTGTGAACCTCAACTCTCAGAATTCCCCAGTCAACATGAAGTCCACACATCTTAAAGTTGTTGAGGTTGAGAAACACTATGCTAGACTGAGGTAGGATTTTGATTGGAATGGGAGGAAGGAGAGGAGAAGTTGAAGTGGTTATGCAGATGCATTAAACTGGAAACATCCCGTGCATCTGCTGAAGTGAACTGTAGCTCATTAAATTATACCATTTGATAAAATGTGTTCATCTGAAAAAGTGCTACAGGACTCCTGATTTTCGGCTACATTCGTCTGCATTGATCTTGGGAAGACCTTCTTTCCTTTTTTTCCCTCAGTCACCCATGCCACAGTCTGACACTTCAGCTTACCTAACTGAGCTGTCGTTGGGACAATAAAATGAAAGATAAATCTTACTGCTCCTGTCAGCCCTCAGAGGAAAGATTAGATCTAAGAGAATAAATCATGACTCTTACAAATGGTGTGCTTTGTTATAAAAACATTTTGAATCTTGTCTGGATTCAAAAGTTAAGCAGGGAGAGATTTTTTTGGCACTGAGTGGAAGATTACCAGAATCCCTGCCAATGGCACGCCACTTCCATACTGTTGTCAAGAAAGCTACATGGATGTGTCCAAGAAACTACCATGAGTCAAGACTGATTTGAGCATCAGCCCCAAAGCTACGATCCGATGAATTCTTTTCACGTGAAAGACTCTCTTCAAGGAAGCCTTGTGGATGTGTCAAAGTGCAACTTCTATTTACTACAGGGATGAGGGAATGATAGAAACTGATTCTTACATTACTGGAGATCATCTTGTGGGGGAAGGCATATACAGAACATACACATTTGACCCCACAGGATTTGGGCAACTGACTTTATTGGGGGACTGACTGAAGGAACAGATTCTAGGGTATCAGTCTAGGTTTCTCAGGGGAAAAACCTAGGATAATTAGGCTGGGTTTGCACAGTACCTGGCATACAGTCAGTCCTGGGAAATCCAGCTGCTGCCTTCACCATCACATTAAGTCACAATAAGGTGGTTGGGCTGTATAGCATATACTTATATGGCCACTGTAATAGTGCTGTTCAACACGTTTTGGAATTAAGCATATTGTGCAAAGCCAGGTTTTTAGAAGTATCCAATCAATGCACAGGCTCGGGGGGGGGGCTCCAAAGCTTGTGCAAGCAGGGCAGAAGTCCACCCCTTCAAAGAGTGAAGAGTAGCAGGTCGGCCTCACCTAGGCCAGCAAAAATTATTTCGTTACCCTGTAATCTTCAGCTGCCTCCTCGACCGGAAGTACCAAGTGACCCCGGTGCTTCTTGGATTTGTCGCATACCAAGCAGATGAAGGCACAGTCCTCCCAGCAGAAAACCTTGAGGGGCTCGCGATGCTTTTCACAGAGGGCCTCTCCCGTCCACCCTGCGATGGCTTGCAGATGCAGCCCTTCCGACGTTCTCGACTCGGAGATCTGTTTTTCAGGGACGTTCTGAACAGGAGAGGCGGGTCTCCCCAGATCCCCCATGGTCTGGACGAGCAACAGCTGGGCAGGGGCGTCCACCTCCACCTCCGGCCGTGGGGCAACCCAATTCCTCCCCAACACTCCGGGGGGGGGGCGGGCGGAGAGAGCTGCTTCGCATTCAAAACGCCCAAAATTTCCTAGCTAACTTTCGCTTTCCTCCAACCAACCAACCTGGGCGATGGGAGGAGTTGTTTTCCAAGTCTCTCGCGTCTGATTGGTGGATGGGAGCCTCTGGGTGTGTGTGTGTGTGTGTGAACGCCACGGAAAGCGGTGCCAAATATTAGCCCCCGTCTCCGTGTGAACGCTGTTAGAGACGGCACGCGGTGGGGATGTCTGCAGATTGAATGTGATTGTGAAGGGTGACTAAAATGGCAGTGCACCCTCACCGACGACTTTCCTATCGGCGCCTTGGGAACTCAACTCTCTCCAGCCTTGTGTTGTGCAGATGGGTAACACCAGGGCTCTTCAAACTTGGCCCTTTTATGACTTGTGGACTTCAACTCCCAGAATTCCTCAGCCAGCGTGCCTGGCTGAAGAATTCTGGGAGTTGAAGTCCACAAGTCATAAAAGGGCCAAGTTTGAAGACCGCTAGGTAACACGCTTCTCGGAGTCCGCTGCTAAAGCCCGTTTTGAGTTCTGCACGAAAGATTTTCTATTTAATACGTAGCAGCTTCTCCTACAATAGTGCTACAGGCTTATAAAGGACAACTTGATTTTCATTTTAAAGGAATTTATTCTCAAGCCGAGGGACTCAACGCATGCAAAAACAGGGCATCTGTGACTTTACAACAGCTGTAGAAGACGAGATTTCTGCTGGCTTAGTTGATGCGGCAAGCTGCACCTGCTGAAATCTTTTCTAGGCCACAGGTGCTAGATGCCTGCTTTCTGGTGTACTTGGCTACTATGTCCTTAGATACCATAGTTTATGACTTCCAATATGGTGAATCCATCCAATTATGTTGAATAAATTATGCTTAAATCCTGTTTTGTTGTGATGCACAGTAGTTTTTAAGCTGGCACAAATCTCCATTTTATTGTAAAAACCCTCTTTAAATCAAGGACAACTTTGGATAACTTTATGGAAATGCTCAAGTAATTTTCTTGGTGACAATATAGGAGTACTTTGCCACTGTTTTTTTTTTCCTGATGTCCTGGGTTTTCCTGATGGTCTCATCTGAGCATCAGTGCTGTCTTTCCTTCTCTTCTGAAACTCCGCTAGTTGTAGATTTTGCACTAGACATTTTAAAATAGTATTGTTAGTTAGGTGCCTGATTAGGGTTGTGTGAGTGACAACATCCTACTTTGGACTTGTTATGCGAAGACCCAGTTCTCTGGAAAAGGCTGTACAGGTAGTCCTCGACTTATAACAGTTCGTTTAGTGACCAAAGTTAACAACAGCATTGAAAAAAGTGACATGACCGTTTTCACTCTTATGACTATTGCAGCATCCCTATGGTCATGTGATCGAAATTCAGCCATTTGGCAACTGACTCATATTTATGACGGCTGCAGTGAAATTTCGGGCTCAGTTGTGGTCATAAGTCGAGGACTACCTGTATTGCTAAAGAAAAGTGGAAGAAAAGATGAGGGTGTCTGGCAGTGATGTGGATGCACTTAGTTACAGAGATGACCTGTGCACTGTTGGAAGACCTGAAGAACCAGGAGGAAATGAGAGATCCGCTCCTGTCTGGGGAACAGAGTTGGGCACTGCAACAATATGGGGACTGCCTGGCGCAGGGGTAGGCAACCTTGGCTCTTTTATGACTCGTGGACTTCAACTCCCAGAATTCCTGAGCCAGCATGGCTCAGCTTGGAAACCTCTCCCTTTCCCCTCAGCATGGCTGGCTCAGGAATTCTGGGAGTTGAAGTCCACGAATCATAAAAGAACCAAGGTTGCCTACCCCTGGCCTGGTGATTATCACCATCTTGCCTTTGCATAATTCATGTGAAGAAGTGCACTAACATCCCCAAGTTGAAGGAGGATTGGTGTAAAATTCCTCCTCCAGGCCAATGTAGAGGACTGGTTAACAGTTATCAGAAATGTTTAGTTGCAATAACTGCTGCCTGAGCTAGGCACGCCAGTTATTGACAGCAAACGTGTACTTTTGCCATCCATAGATACTATATATAGCTCTGGATCTTCTTCCTCAATAAATATTACATTACAAAGTGATACATAAAATATAATGTTTTTGACTCATTTGTTTAATTGGATTTTCCTTATTTTAGGACGGATGTGGAAAACAGCGCATTTTAGATCATATTTATGCTGAAGTATTGAAATCCTAAGAATGCTTTTTCCAAAAGGTAAGTGGACTTTCTTGGTTTTTCCTTTGAAATTATTTTTTTTTCTCATCCAAGAAGCTTCTTCAGTTCTAACTGAATGATGGGGAATGGATAGCTCAGAGAGCTAAAGACCAGTCCTCAGAGTGCTAATGACCAGATTGCAATGAATATAAATCCTTTTATTCCCCACCAGTTGGTTAGAACCTGAAGAAGCTCCTTGGATGAGAAGCAAAATGTTTTTTAAAAGAAAAACCAAGAAAGTCCAGTTTGGAAAAAGCATCTTTGGGACAACCATGTTTTGGATGACTGAGACTCTCCATAGACAGAAATATTGAAAATTCAAAAGGTCCACATTTAAGCACCACTGTAAATAGTCATGCTCATGAAATGATAGTAAATCATTACAAAGGATTTGGTGGTATACTCTAAAGAACTAATAAAATTAGTACCAAACTGGCTGGACTTTCTGAAAGTGTCCCCTCTTTTAGGCATTCCTTGATCATTCTTAGGAATTGTCAGTGGAGAATAATAAATTTACCTTGAAATCTTGAGCAGCTTCCTGTATGGGAAGGACGAAATGATACCAAATGTTCCTTGATTATGTTGCACAACAGGTAGATGGGAATTTGATCTTCCTTACAGAAGACTTTCAGAAATTCCAAGTGACTCACACTCCTGATCTACTTCTTGGGCTGCTTTGAGGTTCAGATCCATCACTAATTCCACAAGTCTTCTCTGAATAGCTCGTCTCCTGGATGAGTTCTCCATATTGGGGCAAGCAATATTGGTCACTAATTACTCCAAGTAAAATTATTTAGCAACCACAATTGGGATTGGCTACTTGGTCATTATGTGAAGCAGTTGCTAAGTGAAGCCACAACTATGTTTATGATCTTCAGACAGATCTGCAGAAGTCATAAATGTGAGAATTGGTTGTAAAGTTAATTTTTCATCACCATTGCAACTTCAGCGGTTGCTAAATGAGGCAGTCACTAAACAAGGAGTACTTGTACTGGACAACGCAACCTTGGCAGAAAATGTCCCCATAGTGGATGGATTAGAGTCATTCTGATAGCAAGACGGGCAGCATATGAATTTAATAAATAAGGTTTTTGAAACTTTCCTGGCAGGGAAGATAAAACCTGCTCACTCAGGTGTCTCAGAAAACTTGTCTTCATGTTTTTCTCTGAGGGAGAAGCCACAATTTCTCTTTCTGCCTGGATGTGTCACTGCAGTATTTCTTCCATTCTCTAGGGTTTGTTGGGAAGGTGTCTCCAGGGCATGCTTGAAACAACTCCCTGCAGGCTGTGAGAAGGAAGTTGAACTGATTCCAAGCTCACTCATTTTGTGGCAAGAAGGAATTCAAGCTTGTAATTTGAGTTAGGCCCAGAAATGTAGCCCAACTGGCTTGTTGTCAAGGAGCTGCAGGAGCGCTAACTTTGCTGAAAGCAGAATGATAAACCGACTTTCTGACTTTTTATTTATTTAAATCATCAGTGGGTCCTTTACTTTGGGGCAGTGATCCTGATATAGAATGTTGTGCATTTTTGCACAACATAGAACAGTAAACAGATTCCTGCTTAGAGTTTTTCTTAAAAAAATTAAGTGGGAATGTGGAATTAGAAATGCATTTTCTTAACTCCTACATAATAATGGCAAGATATACACCCACCCACATACATTATATCGCAAGAACTGCAAGGTTTGTTAAAGCACAAAGGGTTTAGGATAAATTAACCTGAATAGCCAAATGAGACCTAAATGCATTCAGTGAATATGGATGTTCATTGTAAGAGGAGGAAAAAAAATCAGAGCAGATGCATTAAGGGATCACATGCAAAAGCAGAAGTGACTTGGGTATTTTTTTTTTCAGTTGTGCAGCAAGGTAGCATTGGATTGGATTTCTGTTGACTGTTTTCTTCACAAAACTATGAAGCTGTAATGCCTTTTATCACAATTTTTCAATTATCCAGCCTAGGAATTTCCTTGTAGTCTCCTATTCATGTTCAACCCAGTTTAGCTTTTCGGAGGTTAGCTAAGTGCCACCATTCACTGAACAACAGTTGTATAGACCAAGGAAATTTCAGCAAGTCCACTAGGCTTTTTTGAGATCATCTGAAAATAGTGACTTATGACCATTTTTCACATTTATGACTGTTGCAGCATCCCCATGGTTACAGGATCAAAACTGCAGATACTTGACACCTGACTCATCTGATAAGTAGGACATGAACCAATTAGACAATTTCCTCAAAAGTCATAATAATCTTTATTGAAGAAAAACTGATGAGCCATAATGAAAGAATTGTATTGACTACAGTGCTTTAAGAAAAAGACATGTATAAAGAAACAATATTTAAATGTTTTTATGCTTCTTTCTTATTCTACTCTATATAACAGACTCCCATTTTGAACAGGAGCCCTTGTTTCTATCAGTCCTTTGCTTCTGCAATGGTCAAATTTGTTATGGTTTTTCACCGACTATACAAAAACAAACTTTCATTGGGATATTGGTTGAGCACTACTTGGAAAAGTGCTATACTGGATTAGCAGTATTCTGAAACATCACTAAACTCAGTACAAGTGACTGCACAAAACACGCACCAAGCTAAAGCCACTTTTATACACAATTTTAATGCTATTTCAAAGTAGTGGTAAACCTATGCTCAAAAGCTGCTTGGATAAGACTTGACAGGTTTGGGAAGAGTTGTATAACAAGGATAGTCCTCAACTTACAACAATTCATTTAGTGGCTATTCAAAGTTACAACGGCACTGAAAATAGTGACTTATGACCACTTTTCACATTTATGACTGTTGCAGCCATCCCCATGGTTACAGGATCAAAATTGCAGATGCTTGGCAACTGACTCATATTTATGACGGTTGCAGTGTCCTAGGGTTATGTGATCACCTTTTGCAACCTTCTAATATGCAAAGTCAATGGGAAAGCCAGATTCACTTAACAACCGTAGTAGTAACTTAACAACTGCAGTGATTTACTGAACAACTGTGGCAAGAAAGAATGTAAAATAGGTCAAAATTCACTTAACAAATATCTCAGCAACAGAAATGTTGGGCTCAATTGTGGTTGTAAATCAGACATGTCAAACACAAGGCCCGGGGGCCGGATGCGGCTCGCGAAGTGGTTTCATGTGGCCCGCGAAGCCATCCTGGAAACAGTGAGGGAATGGCCCCCGCTGCCTTGGCCCTGGCCCAGGCCAGCCGGGAGCTAATGTACAATTTTGTGGTGGCCATCTTGGCACTTTCCCCGGTGGACCATACCTTGGCACATGCCCCGGTCCCACCCCCTTCTGCCAGAGATCCTCAGATCTGTCCCACTCCTTCCCAGGCCCCCATAGGCACCCTTGACGCGAATGATGTAGAACTGGCCACATCCACCCAGTAGGCCACACCCACTCCATCCACGCCCACCCAGTAGGCTGCACCCACTCTGGCCACACACCCCCAGGGCAACCGCAATGCTGATGCGTCCCTCAGTAAAATTGAGTTTGACACCCCTGTTGTAAATCAAGGATTACCTGTAATGCAGCAGAGAGAGATAGCTGCAATGTGCAACGTCCATCCCAAGGAGGGTTGATGCTGTTTAGACTGATCCTTGTTTCTGAACTGAGGATTGGCTTAGAGATCTAACAGGTGATGACAGAATGGGACTCTCCCACTGTCCAGAGGAGAATAACCTGGAAGACGCATCAGGAGTGGAGGGGAAGGGACATGCCTGCATCAGCCTAATGTGGCTAGCACAGGTAGCCCTTGGCTTACAACCACAATTGGGACTTTCATCACTTAAGTAAGGCAGGTGTTAAGTGAGTCTCACCCAATTTTAAGCCCTTTTTGTCGTGGTCATTAAGTGAATCGTGCAGTCGTTAAGTGAATCCAGCTTCTCCCATTTGCTTTTTGCTTTTCAGAAGCTAGCTGGAAAGGTCACCAAAAGTGGTAAATAAGTGATCCTGGGACATTGCGAATGAGGTAAATACACGCTAGTTGCCAAGTATATGAATTTTGATCATGTAACTGTGGGGAAACTGTGACAGTCGTTAAGTGCAAAGTCAGAAGTCCATTCTTTCAGTGTCACTGTAACTTTGAACAGTCACTAAAGAAATGGTCGTATGTTGAGGCCTACCTGTAAGTGCTTGACTAAATCAACTTCTAAGCCTGGCTCTAACACCAAATGAGTGACTGGTGAAATAGATCAGACTGCCACCACAGCAAAAGTGCCACAGCTCCTGTTGTGCTTAAAGGACAAAAGGCTACTTTATTTTTATTTTTTTATTTTTTTTATTAATTTTCTAATATTACATTTGCATATTTGAAAAGCAACGTGGTAGCTGAGTACAATAATTCCATTACATTTAAATATCATCAATACAAATCTCAAAGTATTACGACAACTAATTCCCTCTCTTTCCCCCTTAATATATACTGTCTCATATTCAAACTAACACAATTCTTATTCTATCAAACAGAAAATAACTTTCTAACATTCATCAATAATCTTCAGTTTATATATATCTTAATTAATTTAACATTCCATCTTTTAGACAGTCAGTGACCTAATAAATTTTTCTTAATTTTAATTTTCCATTAATATTTTAAATTTAACGTTTAATCTTTTTCATTTCCAAATTTTAAATGACCCCAATTTCTATCATGGTTCCCCAAAGTCTAAAGTTCCAGATATACCTCTGATCTATACATGATTCTCACCGTCTGCATCAACCAATTAATAATACGAAGTAATATTCTTACTTTTCTAGTAATTCTCCAGTATCTTAGAATCTCAAATTTAATAGCCAAGATTTCTTTTATTTCCACACTTAGTATTTCCTCTTTTTTCCTCTTTATGTCTCCTATCTCATATTTGAGACTAATAATTTTTTAACCTATTAGCATTTATACCACAAACCAATACACAAATTTAATTTAAAGGCTACTTTAACACTAAAAGCTCAGGGCAACTTTAAACTGCTTGGGGATCAGATAAACAGAATATTATAAATATGTGGCTGAAAAAAAGATTGCTGGAAAAAACTGTGTCATGTTAAATGCAAGTAGGGAAAGAATCCAAAAGCACAAGACAAACCCAAACATTTTATATACTGATCTTCTTTTCACTCTCTTATTGATGTTTGATAGCAAAGTTGTTTGAAAGGAGAAAACAGGCAATCTGACACAGATGTGAAACATTTTTTATATAATACAGAAGCTAATGCAGTGGATGTGTTGCTTCTGCTGAGGTATCGCTACCATAATTTGTACATAATTCCACCTAGAATAGTGAACATGATTTTTTCTTCTTAGCTAGACGAGAGGAGGAAAAAAGAGCATTAGAAAGTGGGTAGAATCTTGAGGATTTATTTCACAGCACCCGAGACCCTGCTGAAGCTGATTATTACGACTTTTTTCCTGCAGACTCTGGTACCAATGTTTAAGGAGATAATTTTTTTTCCTTTATACCAGCTTTCCATAATAGTATCAGTTGCTGATGTCTGCAGATGTAATTACCATATGCAATCACACTAAAATGATAACGGGAGAGCGCATAACAAAAATGGAGAACTTAGCCTTTGTACCCATTGTTTATATCAGAGGTACATTTGTTTTTGTGTGGGTTTTTTTTTAAAATAAAAGCTGAGAAAGCCGGGCAAAACACAAAATACAGGTGGAAACCCTTGTGATGCACTTACTGTCTCCTGCTGGTGCCCTTTTATCAGGCTGCTCAGATGATGAGAGACACATTCCACTCTCTGGGCTACAATCAAAAGCATCATCGGCTATTCGGTCTTTCAATTTCCTCTTTTTTGCTGGAAGATAAATTGTATTAAGAGAGCTGGAATCTTCCTTCTTCCTGCCAAATGGTAGAATGTCTCGTGGAAACAAAAAAAAATCCAAGAGTACACAGGGATAGGGGATCAATATATCTATATAATATATATAATGTACCAAGCTAAAAGGTCTCAAAAGGCTAGAGAATTCCTGGAAGCCTGGCACTCGGACAAATCAATTATCAATAGGAACATAGACACACACAACGTCCGCATACCATTCAAAAGAGACAGTCAAAAAACCAAAAAGGATACAAAAAGAGCAAAACACCACCCTGCTAGCAATGAACACCCAGCTGATCAGAGATTAACACCATGATTAACACTCAGGTAATTACATCTGCAGACATCAACAAACAGGAAGTAAACAATACCCCAATGAAGAAAGTACCAAGTCAGACAAGCAAGCTAACAGTAAACAACAGCCTCTAACTAACACTGACAAAGTAAGAACCTAGTATATAAGTAGACAGTAATCTCTATTCCCTTCTAGCAATGTAAATATCTAGATCTATATGTATTTGTATATGTATATGTACGTATGAAATCTGTCTGTCTGTCTGTCTGTCTACCTACCTACCTACCTACCTATCTCCCTTTTTACAACCCTGTAATCCCTTAATTCAGGGTAGAGTCTGGGCGACTGAATGGAGCTGAACATTTATTGGTCGGATGCCCTTCCTGATGCCATGTGGAGTTTGCATTCCTTTTCTACACTCTCTTCCATCTCTGTCCACTGCAGTTCCTTACCTTCTCCCCCTTCCATTAATCCAGGTCAAATCTAACTACATAAACATGACCTCCTTTAATTCTGGTTACATCCTTTTCCACACATTGCTGCTCTTCATGCATCTGATAGAGAATACTATTCTTCATTTTGGCGTGTAAATTTGGTTTGCTTGCTAGGGTACCTCTGTGTCTATAGTATAGCAAACACACATTTTTTACTGGCATTCATGGTTCTTATTAAGCTACTCACAAAAACCAAAGCATCCTGTCCTTCTGATAAACAGGTAGTCCTTGACTTACAACTGTAGTGAAGCTTGCCCACTGCAGTTGTAAGTCAGGATGGTTGTAAAGCAGGTCACCACATGACCAGACCCATTTTTACTACCTTTATGGTGGTCATTAAGCAAATGCTCTGGTCATAAAGAAACTGCCACAGTCATTAAGTGACCACTGTGGTCATTAAGCAAATCTATTGTTCACTTGGTAGGTCAGTGGTTCTCAACCTGTGGGTCGGGACCCCATTTGGGGTCGATTGACCATTTCACGGGGGTCGCCAAGCAAGGCTGTCCGCCATTTTTTTTGTCTGCCATTTTTTCCCCTTTTCCGGCGGGTGCCTTACTTCCCTTGGGCTGGGCCAGCTGGTGGTCAGCCTGCTCCGCCTCTGCCGCTTGCCAGCTACGCCTTGGCCGGCGCAGGGGGCGGAACCACGCATGTGCGGCGCTCCCGGGCAGGGAAAGTCCTCAACTTACGACCGGTTGGGTAGTCCTCGACTTACGACCGGTTTAGTCCTCGACTTACGACCGGTTTAGTCCTCGACTTATGACCGGTTGGGGTCACGGCATTAAAAAGGTTGAGAACCACTGTGGTAGGTAGTTATTAGTTCCTCCCCAGTATAGAACAGTATAGTAGAGGAAAAACTTACTACCACTCTTAGTTTTTTTCCCATAATTTGCTGGAAACTTACAAGGATCTCTCTGTAGTTCAGAAGATAGAGTAGCTATAGAAAAAAAAAATCAGTTATGATTTTGCAAAAAAAAAGTTCTGACATCACAACAATATTAGCTAGGAGAGGGGCAGTGCAGTGCTCCTCATTTGAAGGCAAAAATATGCTTTGGAGCACATAAGGGGCACACCTGCAACACCACATTGCACACATTTCTTCCCCAGGTTATACACCAGCTACAGAAAGTCAATTCTAATCCTGTGCAATCCTGAGAAAAGATGGACTGTGTGCGTTTAAGTGAGAAACATTCTTCTTCTTCTTGTGCCATATCCATTATTGGACGTTGGCGACCATGTTGGCGATCCTGTTTTTATCAGCAGCCACACGAAAAAGTGCTGCTGAGTTTTGTCCAAACCAGTCCCTTAGATTTTGAAGCCATTATGTTCTTCTTCTGCCTGGACCTCGTTCGCCTTCCATCTTTCCCTGGAGGATTAAATGGAGTATGCCGTATTTTTCTGTGTGGCGCATCACATGTCCGAAATATTCTAATTTTCGTTTTTTTAATTGTTTTGATGATTTTCCTTGGCTTTCCCAGGCGGCTTATCACCTCCTCATTTCTGATCCTGTCAACCCAGCTTATACGTGACAGCCGCCTGTAAATTCACATTTCAAATGCTTCTGGTCTCTTCAGGTGGCCTTCTGTCAGAGACCAACTCTCTACTCCATAGAGCAGGATAGAAAAAATATAGCATCTGACAAGCCTGATTTTCAGTCTTAGGCTTATGTCGTGACTGCAGAAGACCTTTTTCATTTTGAACAATGCTGTTTGAGCGTTCTCTATCCTAGTCTTTACTTCATTAAAACTGTTTTTCTCAACTTTGGCAGTTAAGCTGTGGAATTCTGGGGATTGAAGTCCACACAATTTAAAGTTGCGGAGGTTGAGAAACACAGCTCTAAATCATGTTTTTTTGCAGTTGAATCCAAATTATTGCTAATTAAAACAAGCAAGCTAAGCTTGATGCTTAGCTGACCAAATTAATTATAGTCACAGGTAAATTGTTTTTCTGACAATAACGCCACTGATAAGCAAGTTGAACAGTGAGAAACGGGTTAAGCTATCTGCTGATTTTACCTGACTTCAAAAGCACTCTGCAGTACAGCACTTCCTCTACTGCAGTGGTTCTCAACCTGTGGGTCGGGACCCCATTTGGGGTCGATCGACCATTTCATGGGGGTCGCCAAGCAAGGCTGTCTGCCATTTTTTTTGTCCGCCATTTTTTTTGTCCGCCATTTTTTCCCCCTTTTCCGGCGGGTGCCTTACCTCCCTTGGGCTGGGCCAGCTGGTGGTCGGCCTGCTCCGTCTCTGCCGCTTGCCAGCTACGCCTCGGCCGGCACAGGGGGCGGAACCACGCATGTGCGGCACTCCCGGGCAGGGAAAGTCCTCGACTTACGACCGGTTGGGTAGTCCTCGACTTACGACCAGTTTAGTCCTCGACTTACAACTGGTTTAGTCCTCGACTTACGACCGGTTTAGTCTCGACTTACGACCGGTTGGGGTCGCGGCATTAAAAAGGTTGAGAACCACTGCTCTACTGGGTAAGAGGTCTCAATTTCTCACAAGGATGGGGGAAATACAAGCAGAGGAACAGGGGGAAAAAGTGAGGTGGGGGAGGTCAGACTGTGGGCATCAGGTACCTAGCACTAGATCAGGGGTCCCCAACCGGTCCACGGCATGCCAGAAACCGGGCCCGCAAACAAGCAAAGCCCCATCTGCGGGGTGCAGGCAGCACATGAAACCACGCACCCTCCAGTCCACGGAAAAACCTCTCTTCACAGAACCGGTCCCTGGAGCCCAAAAGGTTGGGGACCACTGCAGTAGATGATTGCTGGATAAGCCTTGACAGAAAAAAGTTTGCCCACAATGACTAAGTTATGGTTTTCAAACCATAGTTTACTGAATTTATATTTCACCTTTATTATTTTTATAAATAATAATAATAATAAAGTTGGAAGGGACCTTGGAGGTCATCTAGTCCAACCCCCTGCTCAGGCAGGAAACCCTATACCATTTCAGACAAATGGCTGTCCAGTCTGTTCTTAAAAACTTCCAGTGTTGGAGCATTCACAGCTTCTGGAGGCAGGTTGTTCCACTGGTTAATTGTTCTGACTGTCAGGAAGTTTCTCCTTAGTTCAAGGTTGTTTCTCTCCTTGGTTAGTTTCCATCCGTTGCTTCTTGTGCTGCCTTCAGGCGCTTTGGAGAATAGCTTGACTCCCTCTTCTTTGTGGCAACCCCTGAGATACTGGAACACTGCTATCATGTCCCCCCTCATCCTTCTCTTCATTAAACTAGACATACCCAATTCCAGCAACAGTTCCTTATATGTTTTAGCCTCCAATCCCCTGATCATCTTTGTTGCTCTTCTCTGTACTCTTTCTAGAGTCTCAACATCTTTTTTACATCGTAATTCAAGGTGGCTAACATACCTAATACTCTTTTTTCCTCCTATTTTCTCCACAACCCTGTGCAGGAGGGATACTAGCCCAAAGTCACCCAGTCAGCTTTCATACTTAAGGCAGGACTAGAACTCAGTCTCCTGGTTTCTAGCCTGGTGCCCTAACTACTGGACCTTAATAGTCATTATTGGTGGGTATTCATGTGTTAAACTACGTTGTGGCTTAAAAAAATGCACAGACCCAGACAATATTTTCTGCTCTGACTGAAAACAATCAGATGTGTAGACAATCACCTAAATATGAGCCAGCAGTGTGCTGCAGCTGCCAAAAAGGCCAACACAGTGCTAGGCTGCATTAACAGAGGGATAGAATCAAGATCACGTGAAGTATTAATACCACTTTACAATGCCTTGGTAAGGCCACACTTGGAATACTGCATCCAGTTTTGGTCACCGCGATGTAAAAAAGATGTTGAGACTCTAGAAAGTGTACAGGGAAGAGCAACAAAGATGATTAGGGGACTGGAGGCTAAAACATGTAAGGAACGGTTGCTGGAATTAGGTATGTCTACTTTAACGAAGAGAAGGATGAGGGGGGACATGATAGCAGTGTTCCAATATCTCAGGGGCTGCCACAAAGAAGAGGGAGTCAAGCTATTCTCCAAAGCGCCTGAAGGCAGGACAAGGAGCAACGGGTGGAAACTAATCAAGGAGAGAAGCAACCTAGAACTAAGAAGAAACTTCCTGACAGTGAGAACAATTAACCAGTGGAACAACCTGCCTCCAGAAGCGGTGAATGCTCCAACACTGGAAGTCTTTAAGAAGAGACTGGACAGCCATTTGTCCGAAATGGTATAGGGTTTCCTGCCTGAGCAGGGGGTTGGACTAGATGACCTCCAAGGTCCCTTCCAACTTTACTATTATTATTATTATTATAAAACAACCTTAATAGAAGCTTGTTGTATTGCTTGGATTGCTGTTATTCACCTTCTCTGTTTCCCATTTTCTCTCTTGCCCTAGCTGCTGTTTTAATGTAGTGCTTCAGGCTGCTTTGAAAGCTTCTCATGATAGAAAGGCAGGACTCACCTCTTTCCAAAAATAAATGCTATCTTCAGAAACAGGAACTAGAATACAGCAAAACAAATCAGTACTTTTAGGAGCCTGCATGTAAGCTTCCTTTCTGTTCCAACAGCATGGAAGGGATCTCTCTGTTTAAAAACTTGTTCCTAAATGTATATTTAAACATTATCAGCTAAGCTCATACCTTCGAATTCCCTCAGAGTATGTGTGACAACCTCATTTTGTCTTGTTTGATTAGCAAGCCCTTTTTCCACTTCAGGAAGAAGACCATCTAACTCTTGGCATTTAGTTTGCCTAAAATAGGAAGGAAACATGTCAAGGTTCCGACTAATGAAACACTTCAAAGAACTTCCAGGCATTTTATCCTAAAAAGTCTTTTTATTCATGTGACAAAATGTTGGCACGGCATGATGAAAGGATGCTAAGATCTGAAATCTCCACCCCCCCAGCAGTTACTTTTGCTAGCATTTCCCCTCCCTTATTTTGCTGTCATGATTTACGTTCTCCAATTAGTTTGAAGGGCTTTTCTCTCCTCCCTCATTCTCATCTGAATTAACTCTAAAAGTACCAGACAGTTCTGCATATTTTGTCAAAGCAAGAATATTCAATATTAGCAGCGTTGACAAAACATTTATATGGAGATCAGGTGGATGATTTTAAGCTGAAAGAGGCCCATATAGACCATTCCTATCATTTTTGCCCTAACGTATATCAGGAAGTCATAAAGTATCAAGGGATAAACTTGCTGCTTGGTCAAAGATATTATGGAATATTTGGAGATAGCTGAATGCTAAGTTGGGCCAAAGTACAGACGAGGAGCTGGGTTTTAGGGAAGGTTTAGCCAGCTACACAATTTTTGCACATGGATTTACACTCTAGTTTTCATTTGATTTCCCCATCTCAAAATGGTAGCCATCAATGTTGTGCATGCTTGATCACAGGGGCCTTTGTGAACTGCGGAAAGGAGAGTTGTAGACTGCAATAGTTCAGCTGCTTGTGTTAACCATCTCACAACAGAATAAGAGAATATCAGAATTGGAAGGGACCTTGGAGGTCTTCTAGTCCAACCCCCTGCTCAGGCAGGAAACCCTATAACATTTCAGACAAATGATTGCCCAGTCTCTTCTTAAAAACCTCCAGTGTTGGAGCATTCACAATTTCTGAAGGCAAGTTGTTCCACTGATTAATTGTTCTGTCAGGAAATTTCTCCTTAGTTCTAGGTTGCTTCTCTCCTTGATTAGTTTCAACAACAGGAGAACAGCTTCTATCTTATTATACTTAAGAAGGAATGGATCTTTTAATGAGCTGATGGCACCACTGTTTTGCTCATCAGCTTTCATTTTAGTTTCTATTTTATGCATTTCTTAGATAATCCAGCCCTAATCAGAAGATAAAAAGTCAAATACCTCATTGATGCAGCCTGCATCTTCTGGGAAAGGAAGATAAGAAGTATTTTAGCATTATGTAATACAGAGTCTACAACAAAATCTTGCTACCTAATTTGGAGCCTCTAGTTCTCTTCCAAGATGTTTTATTTTCCCGCAGGACTTGGCATCTCATTTCCCTTTTAACAGACCTTCAGCATGCTGTGGTTATGGAGTCTGCAAAGTCTCCTTTGAGTTTTTTCTCACCTTCCCCTAAGCCAGTGTTTTCAAATTTGACAGACGGATGGACCTCAACTCTTCAATGCTTGGTCGGGAATTATGAAAGTTGAAGCCCACCCATCTTACAATTGCCAAGGCTGAGAAACACTGCCACAAGCTTTTCTGATGCTTTTTCTATTATGGGAATGATGCCCTTTCAAAGACCACTGTCTATTTTCATTAGCACATAGCACATTAACTGTCTGGTTTTAACCATGGTTTGTAGAATAAGTCATAACTGTGTCAATCATAATTTTAAAACCACAACCATAAGTCAAAACAATGTGTGAATCCAGCCTTGCCTTAGAAATATGGGAGAGGAAGCCGACTTTTTTTTCTATCATATGATGATGATGTTATCTATTTAGTCACGTCTGATCCTTGGCGATTCTATGGGCCAGGTCTCTCCACTTCTTCAGATCTTGCACTGCTTCTTTGAGTTGTTCCTGACATATATCACTTTGTAAGCCTCTCTCACAGGTATCCCACATGGGAAACAATGACTTTGTTAAGCTATTTTTATCTATCTTTGCCTCCCCCAATGCACCTTCCTGGTCATGGTGCTAGGAATATGCAAAACCAATAAATCTAGTGGGACTAGTTTGGGAAAGAGAGATCTCCCATAAAACAAGGACTGTCTGTTTCTTGGTTCTCTAGTCCAGGGCTTTTCAACCTGTTCACCCATGGTACCACTTTTAGGATATGGCAACATCCGAGTACCACCAGTCGCCTAGCAAGGTGTCAAAAACTTGATGACCCCCCCCAAAAGGAAAAAAAGTGATAAAGTACAGGTAGTCCTCGACTTACAACAGTTCGCTTAGTGACCGTTCGAAGTTACAATGGCACTGAAAAAAGTGCCCCCCAAGCCACAGCTGAGCAAGACACCTGCCAGGGGGGTGTTTGGTTTTTATTCCCCCCGTCTGCTGGGTGGTTGCAGCAGGTTTTGGTCACTTCACATGACCCTGGGACACTGTGACCGTCATAAATATGAATCAGTTGCCAAGCAATGTAAATCACAAGACCCTGGAGATGCTGCAACATTCCAGCTGATGGGCGCTTCTTCTGGGCTCAGCAGAAGTGCCAGGATCAGTGCTGAGCTCCAGCTGGAGCCTGGCACTGATCTTGGTGCATCCACTGAGCCCTGACAGCCCCAAAGAAGCGCCGATCCTGGCGCTTCCGCTGAGCCCTGACAGCCCTGCAGCTCCAGCCATCTCTCGCTCAGGCTTGTGCGGTGCTGCCACCGGTTCAGCTCATTCCCCTCCCCCGCTACCATTTTTCTAGGATGGTCGCGTACCACCTGCCAGGTGCCAATGTACCACAGGTGGTACCCGTACCACTGGTTGAAAAGCCCTGCTCTAGATTTCAAGAGCTATTCTCCCACCACATCTTTGGTAAGATAACGATCATTTACCCCAGAAGAAAATAATGTCAACTTTCTAACCTGTAAAAACTCAAGCTCTACTGTTGGCCCTCTTCCTTCTGCCATAGTGATAAGGCTATCCAGGCAAGAAATTTCCTCTGAAATTGTGGCAGTACGAACTTCCTGTTCCTTAACTGCTGTCTGGAGTGACTTCCACTGGTCCAGCAGCAGTTGCTTCTGTTCCTCAAGGAATTGATAAATCCGCTGAAAGGCCAATGACATTTTCTGCATCTCACCGCTGATTGTATTCTGCAATACATTCCAGCAGGGAAACATGGTTACTGCTCTGAAAGACAGATTGAGGGCAAATTCCCCTCTGGTAGTAGATAAATTGAAGAACGTACCAGGGCTTTTTTGTTCTTCGCTACATTCATTGCCTGAAGTTTAAGAAGTTTTTCTCTTTTTTTCTTCAAAGATATTAGTTGGTCCTGGAATTCTTGCTAAAAAAAAAGATTAGTATTTTGACTTAGTATACCTTGCGGCCTCAGATACCTACAAAATGAATCTTTAACAAGCCCCCTTACCCTCCCTATGTGGAGCATCTTAATCCAGCTAATTATTCCTGAGCCGAGTCTTCCATTCAGCACTTTTAAGATTAACCCAGCCACTCATGCAATATATCTGCACTCCAGACTTAATCACCCTCAATGTTCAACTTTCAAAAATAATATGGAAACTATAAACTTGTTAAGACATAAATCATGGCCTTTAACTATGAATAGTCAAGCCTGTACTGAAGTTCAGCTCTTGAAATCCACCAGCTGGGATTGCGCAATACCTGGGAGATTGTTGAAGACCAAAAGCAACTATGGGAAAATTTGGTTTACATTATAGAATCCCCAAGATCATTTGAAGAAACTTTTGGCAGCAAAAATGATAATAAAACCAAAAAAGGGCCTGCTGTAGATCACACGCACAGGCTTTATTTGCTTGCTTTGTTTTTTTTTTGAAGACTGTTATCACATAGCATTAAACAGACATTCTGGCTAATTTTTTAAGTTTCCCGTGTGTGGAAAAAAACACAGCACTGAGATCTCTAGTCAGATACCAAGAAAATGTAAAGAAAAAAACCCAGCGCAGAACTCACCCTGTGCTCTATTTAACAGTCATGTGCCCCTTTCTTAGGGTATTATATATGTCCCTGCAAAAATAGGTCTTGATTATTGCTTTTTCTGCCACATTCATATGTTGTAGCTTTTGTCTCATCCCCAACACAGAACTAAGACAGCCTTAACATCATCCTCAGCTGTTCTACTTTGAAAGAAATAATAATAACAACAATAAAGTTGGAAGGGACCTTGGAGGCCATCTAGTCCAACCCCCTGCTCAGGCAGGAAACCGTATACCATTTCAGACAAATGGCTGTCCAGTCTCTTCTTAAAAACTTCTAGTGTTGGAGCATTCACAGCTTCTGGAGGCAGGTTGTTTCACTGGTTAATTGACTCTGTCAGGAAGTTTCTCCTTAGTTCTAGGCTGCTTCTCTCCTTGATTAGTTTCCATCCGTTGCTTCTTGTCCTGCCTTCAGGCGCTTTGGAGAATAGCTTGACTCCCTCTTCTTTGTGGCAGCCCCTGAGATATTGGGACACTGCTATCATGTCACCCCTCGTCCTTCTCTTCATTAAACTGGACATGCCCAATTCCAGCAACCGTTCCTTATATGTTTTAGCCTCCAGTCCCCCAATCATCTTTGTTGTTCTTCTCTGCACTCTTTCTAGAGTCTCAACATCTTTTTTACATCGTGGTGACCAAAACTGGATGTTTTGGATATTCTCCTTTACCTGTCAATACAACGTTTGCCATGGATAAATGTCTTCATCATTGAATCCCAAGGAGCTCACAGCATCTGGAGCTAAAGTAGATGCCCTGGGTGACAAATGTGGAAGCTGGCTGAGATTGCCTGGGCCTTTACTTCAGCCTTCAAGGAGTACCACTGTGCAGGGTGACCAAAAGTGCAAGGATGAGTGAAAGATAAGTGGATGGGGGAAAGGAATTGGTGCACCACTGTGGTCATAAGTGCGGGTGGGCTGCCAAGCACCCGAAGTATGATCACATAACCATTACTAATTGCCGACCAACCAACTTCTATTTTTTCCCCCCGTCTGCAGAAAGCCACGAAGCTAGTATACCAAACATGGCAGACAACAAATGAAGAATGCATGAAAAGTGGCCTACATTTTAGCTCTCACAGCAAGGAATATGCCACCTAACATTGCGTGATCTTACCTCCACAGGAAACACTGTATGGTCCTTGTGCTCTTTTGATTTGTCACACACCACGCAGATTGCCATTTGATCATTTTTACAGAAAAGTTTCAGTGGTTCCTGGTGCTTCTGGCATATCCTCTTTTGTCTTTTCTTTTTCTTTGGTTTTTTTGTTCAGCTTTGAGACAATTCTGGCAATGTTTCTCAGCTCTCGGTTGGGCTTTAGGATTCTTTTCGAGCTGATTGCTTTACACTGAGAACACTGGAAATATTTTTTTTAATGGAAACCCAATATTGAGTAATGCAAGCTCGGCAGAAGGTGTGCCCACAGTGTATGGAGACTGGATCACGGAAACTGTCTGAGCAAATGAAGCAGAACAGTTCTTCTTTAAGTCTTCTTATCGGTTCCACTGTGGACATGATGACTGTCTGTGCTAAACACTGTTTCTTTCTGCTGCTGTTGCTGGATATCCCTCTGGGAAAACCGTGCTATGTTCTCACTGCTTTCACTAAAAAAATAAAGATTCTTTTGTCCTCAAGGTTTACACAAACAAGAACAACATTAACAAAACTTCTGAATTAACCCGACTGCAGAAGACATCAGAACTTCACATGGAAAAAAAAAGAGAGAGAAAAATAGTTAAAAAAGTTAAAATCTGCCATGGAAAGTGCAAGCCATGTATTATGGGCTCAAACAAGAACCCAAAAAGAAATAATTGAACAGAAGTATCAGGAAGTGCTGGAAAAGGTGATTCATGTATCAGAAGTCAGGGTGGGTCCTCCCTATTCTATAAGAGGTTTTGTTGGGGCTGATTGGCAGAACTCCAGATTCCTGGCTAAAGAGGAAATATGAAAGGATTTAAGCCACTCCTCTAGTAATAAGTGCTTTAAGTAAATATTTAGCAAAACTAAAAGCAAATAGACACATCAGAACACTTTCAATATTCTGTTTATGGTTATGCTTCAAGATAAAGTTAGGCAGAGCTTGCTAAAGTTGTGCTTCAACATTTAGTGGGTACAGCATAGCAACTTGGGTCTATTTTAAAACACGGTCTTTTTATAACTAATTTCTAACCAATCACATTAATAATTTTGTATATTCTTGAGGCTTGACTATAAATACACTGCTTTGTGTGTATCTTGCCAATGGAGTATTTGCTTGAATGTATCGATGTGCTTGATCTGGCTTTGCAAGGCCTTTATTTACTTATAAATATTTATATTTTTTTTATAAATAACTCAAGGCAGCAAACATACATCAGTCTTTCCTTCTCCTATTTTCCCCACAACACTGTGAGGTAGACTGGCCTGAGAGGAAGAGAATAACTTACTGGCTCAAAATCACCCAATCTGTTGTCATGCCTAAGGCAGGAGTAGAACTCAGTCTCCTGGTTCTAGGCCAACATGTTAACCACTATTCAAGTGTTGGGAGACTGAAGAACTGTAGAACTGCTTGAGTAGTCAAAATGAACCCCAACATGGGAAGGGAGAGAAAACCTGTCAGTTGCAAATGGGATGGAACAGAATTCCCCCCCCCCACAGATTTTTCTCCAACAACTATAGACCTCATCCTGTCCCCCTATTGGCAATTGGGACATGACCACTGAAGTAAAAACAAGGATAGAAAAAGCATTCTTCAAAATGAAAAAGGTCTTCTGCAGTCAGGACATAAGCCTAAGACTGAAAATCAGGCTTGTCAGATGCTATATTTTTTCTATCCTGCTCTATGGAGTAGAGAGTTGGTCTCAGACAGAAGGCCACCTGAAGAGACTAGAAGCATTTGAAATGTGGATTTACAGGCGGCTGTCATGTATAAGCTGGGTTGACAAGATCAGAAATGAGGAGGTGATAAGTCGCCTGGGAAAGCCAAGGGAAATCAATTAAACAAACAATTAAAAAACGAAACAATTAAAAAACGAAAATTAGAATATTTCGGACATGTGATGCTACATCCAGAAAAATACGGCATACTCCATTTAATCCTCCAGGGAAAGATTGAAGGCAAACGAGGTCCAGGCAGAAGAAGAACATCGTGGCTTCGAAATCTAAGGGATTGGTTTGGACAAAACTCAGCAGCACTTTTTCGTGTGGCTGCTGATAAAAACAGGATCGCCAACATGATCGCCAACGTCCGATAACGGATATGGCACAAGAAGAAGAAGAATTGGCAATGCTGAGAGCAGACTCCCCCAGTTGCCCCTCCCGCATCTGAGGAAGGAATGAAGGAACCTAGAACTAAGGACAAAATTTCCTAATAGTGAGAATAATTAATCAGTGGAACAGCTTGCCTTCAGAAGTTGTAGGTGCTCCATCACTGGAGGCTTTTAGCAACAGACCGGACTGCCAATTGTCTGGAATGGCATAGGGTTTCCTGCTTGTGCAGGGGGGTGGACTAGAAGACCTCCAAGGTCCCTTCCATCTCTATTATTCTGTTCTGTTCTGAATGCAATTGGCCAGTCTCTTCATCACCACCACCGCCCCATCCCCATTTTCTAGCAGGCAGCCGGGATGGAGGACGGGAACGCGCAGCCGCCTAACTGGGTAGCGGCTTGACGTCGACCAAGCTCTTCCTCCGGGGGCTCGAACAGAGGGGTCAGCCCACCCCAGACCTCGGCAGCGCGGCTGCTTCATTGGCGCTGCGAGCCCCTCGCATCGGCCGTGCGGAGCTGAGGCGGGCGCTGCGAGAGTTTCCGCAAAGAGATGCTTTGCAGGCTTCGGGCCTTGTTCCAGACGCGCCTGACTGAACTCAAGGGGGGGGGGGGAAGCAACTGCAGCAGCTTGCGCCTTCTGCCACCTGGTGTCCCTCCCAACCCAAATCGATCCCGATTTTGGAAATCAGGGTAAATAGACGGCCTGACCAAGTCCCCTTCGGCGGCAGCACAGAGAAGGTGACGTTTCTCCGGCGGGCGGAGCGCGCAGATCAGAGCCATTCTTTCCATAGCTCTGTTCATCTGCAGCTAGAGCTACCGGTACAGTTGATCCGGGACAAGGAGAAGGGGACCACTCGGTCGCCATGGAGAACCCGGTGGAAAGCCTGCACAAGGAAGCCACTTGCTCCGTGTGCCTGGAGTATTTCCGAGACCCGGTTTCCATTCCTTGCGGCCACAGCTTTTGCCGCGCCTGCATCACCCAGTGCTGGAAGGACCAGAGCACCAATTTCTCCTGCCCGCAATGCCGGGAAATTGCCCTGCAGAGGAATTTGAGACCCAACCGGGAGCTGGGAAACGTGGTGGAAATCACCAGGCGGCTGAGCTTGCACGCCTTGCAAGGCGCCGCCGGGCAAGAAGGAGAGGAGGGGAGGCCGCTGTGCGAAAAGCATCAGGAGGCGCTGAAGCTCTTTTGCAGCGAAGAAGAAAGCCTCATTTGTTGTATCTGCAGAGAGGCGCGAGCCCACCGGAGCCACACGGTCTTCCCCATCGAAGAGGCCGCCCAGGACTACAAGGTATCAGGAGGCGCGCGCGCCCGCCCTCTGCCCCGCGCAACGTTTGCGCGCGCCTGCTCTCCTTCCGGGCATCTCCAGGTCACGTTTAAAATCCCTGGAGGCTGGGGGAGAGCAAAATCTTCATCTGAACTCTGCCCCTATTTCTCCTGCCTGTATCCTGCCTCGATCTTTTTAGCATGTGTTAGAAGCCTGAAACAACTCTTGTAATATTTTAACAGCTAGGTTTGCCACTTCCAGTGGAAAAAAAATACTGATCCCTTTGTTAATTACAGATAAGAAATTACAGGTAGTCCTCGACCTACAACTGTTTAGTGACCGTTCAAAGTTACAGTGCACGGAAAAAAGTGACTTATGGCTGTTTTTCACATTTAACTACCATTGCAGCATCCCCATGGTCACATATCAAAATCTGGATGCTCAGCATCTGGCATGTATTTATGATGGTTGCAATGTCATGAGGTGATGTGATTTTGGGCTCAGTTGTGGTTGTAAGTCAAGGACTACCCATATATTTTAAATAAGAGGCCCCTCTAGGTATGGCTCAAGACAGGCTGGCATTTTAGATTTCCCTTGCAAAGAAAGATGTGTCATAACCCCACTTCATTCAGTGCAATATTCAGGTATTGTCCAATGTTGCTTTTTCAGATAACCCCACCTTTTTGCCCTTGACATTTCTTTCAAGCTGCTTCTTGAAGTTGTAGAAATCTTTCCCATGCTCAACCACCTAATTCCTCATGTGATGCACAGTCACAAACTCACCACGAGTGATTATCTGATGGTCTCTGAGCCACCTATTAAACAAGTTCTACTTTGCATAACATTTTCAGCCAGGTACAGCTAGGTACAAATCTGAGGAGGAAAGGGGACAATTAATTATAACTAAATATTTAAAACTCAGATTCTCTTTCTTTAGAAAGAAATTGAATGCCGTCTGCAGAAACTGAAGGAAGAACTAGAGAAACTTCTTCGACTAAAAATGGCTGGAGAGGTTAGACATCAGGAATCTCTGGTTAGTATATAGACTGTGTTGTCAGATTTCAGGGGCTTGCTGGATGCTTAAATTCTCCCCTCCCTCCTCCCCAAATGCTCTTTCTCTACTCTGTTTCTCCCTCCCCCACCCCAGAAGCTTGTTGTTCTGTTTATGTAACACCAGGTTTCCTTTCCCTTGAATTCTTTATGTTTTGGAAACAGTACAGTTTGATGGAAAGACACTAATTCCCACAATGGAAGAATAACAATAACAGAGTTGGAAGGGACTTTGGAGGTCTTCTCGTCCAACCCATTGCTCAAGAGCAAGAAACTCTATACCAGTGGTGGTGAACCTATGGCACCATCACCCCAGCCCTGCCTCCTCCCACGGCCCCCTCCTCACCAGAAGCACCCTTAGAGGAGAGTCGCCCCCGGGTGTGGCCCACGCAGAACAGCGCAGCCAAGGACATGGCAGCCAGGCAGCGGGGACAAGACTCTGCCCTTGCGCCCCGTCATGTTCAGATGATGCTGCGGGCAGAGGGCGTGGCCACCATGGTGCTGCTGGGCCACCTGGGCGATCTGTGGTAGGCTGTGGAGGCGGTGGATGGCCTGCGGGGCAGGGACAGTGTGGGAGGTGTGGGGGTTTGGGCACTCAGTCTCTAAAAGGTTCGCCATCACTGCTCTATACTATTTTAGACAAATGATTGTCCAATCTCTTCTTAAAAACCTCCAGTATTGGAGTACCCAGAACTTCTGAGTGGGTGGAAAGAGTGGATGGAAAGGGTGGCAGAGTTAGCAAAGATGGTGAAATTGACTTTTAATTAAAGAAAAGAATTTAATCTAGTTTTGTTTCTACTCGGAAACCACTTTTGGACTTTTTGCTTGAAACTGTAAAAAAGTAAAACTTTGATTTTAGGTTTTGCAATTAAAGAAATGGCTTGAAATACCGTGAAATATAAAGCAAAAGTTTGAAGTTACATATTTTTGTAATCTCCTGCACCAAAGAAAATTGGAAGTCATTATCATTTGCTTCTCTCTTTGCACTTTTTTCCTTTTCCCCGTTTTTTAAAAACTTTTCTTTCTTCTATATTTTTATCTTATAATAAAACTTAAGAAAACATTTAAAAAGAAAACAGTACAATTCTTGGAGTTTTGGGCTGTCTCTCATCCTGACTGTGACCTGGCCTGACCAGCTGCTTTGTCCATCTTGACAAGCTGGGTTCAAGGCCCAATAACTCAGATCCTTGCCTCTTATTTTAGGAAATTGCATCCGGGCATCCAGTGACTGCTTATCTCCTGAAAGCCTTTCCCTGCCCTTTTCTCACATCCATCTCCCTATTACACTACAGAATCAAACAGACACCGAGAGGCAAAAGGTGGTGATGGAATTTGAGCAAATGCACCACTTTTTGGATGAACAGGAGAAGCTTCTGCTGGCTCAGCTGAAGGAGATGGAAAGGGAGATTGTCAAGCATCAGAAAATATATGACACGAAGGTTTCTGATGAAATTGTTGCTCTTACTATCCTGATTGATGAGATAGAAGAGAAGCTGGAGCAGCCAGACAGTGAATTCCTTCAGGTGAGAGGGGTGGGCTTCAGAGGGGAACCTTGAAAAGAAGGTGTGCCAGATACATTGTGAGGAAGCCTTACATAACTGCCCTGTGTGACTGGGTGGACCCTCTTCACCGGAGGTGTTAAAACAGGCAGGATGGCCATTTGTCAGAGATACTGTAATTGCAGATTCCTGCCCTGGGATTGGGGTTTGACTAGATCACGGGTAGGCAATCTTGGTTCTTTTATGATTCGTAGACTTCAACTCCCAGAATTCCTGAGCCAGCATGGCTCAGCTTGGAAACCTCTCCCTTTCCCCTCAGCATGGCTGGCTCAGGAATTCTGGGAGATGAAGTCCATGAGTCATAAAAGAGCCAAGGTTGCCTACCCCTGGACTAGATGATCTCAAGCTCCCTTTCAATCTATATGTTCTACGATTCTACTATATAAAGAAGTAAATAGAGAATTCCACTTGAAGGAATGGTTTTTGATATAGGCTGTGATTCGATTTGAAGAGGTTATTTCTCAGTTCCTACAGAAAAGTCCACAAAGAAATACTTTTGGAAATTAAAAAAAAATCTATATTCTAAAAGCACAGACAGAAATAGGCACCTCCGTGACTATCCCGTCTCCTTCCTAACCCACCCAAATCCCTAAGCAACAGAAGTTGAATCTCATTCTGTCTTGACTACCATTTTGTATGCAGTGTTTTTTTACCCCAAATCCTCATTAAGTATTTTTTACAAAAAAATCTGCTAATAACCCGAAAGCAAAAGCTTTTAATCCTTTGTGTTTGTTTATTATTAGTATATCTGTATTCTTGGAGAGAATAAGTTACAGAAACCCTGCTGTGTAACTCATTGCTAATATTTCAGATCAGAAATGGAACTGGGGATTGTTTTGATTTCAAAAATTCCCCTATCTTTACTTACCAATCAATGTCAGTCCATTGCAGATACTCTCTGGCGAAACCTCTTTTTGTGCATGCACACTCCTTGGATGCTTAAATGTGTAACATCAATAATGTCGAATGAAAAAAGTTAGAACATGACTGTTGTTGAGACTAACTTTTGATGTTTCACCTCATCCTTCCTTCCTGACCCGCAAAGCAGTATAATATTTTGTATTGATGTGTTGTTGGGAGTTCAAAATTGTATGCATTTAACATTTCATACCATCTGAGAACATACTATAGAAATAGCGAACAATATTGTTAGATGTATTTTTTGCTAAAATTTGCTCTACAAGTCCCCCCATGATCACCAACCCTAGAACTGTGTATTATCCTATGCTTTCATTCCGATTCATTCATTTTTCCATGGGGGTCCTTTTCCTTATAATGATTAGAGGACAACCTAAAAGCGGTTGCATCAGTTTCTCAAATATACTTTCTCTGTTCTTCAGATATAGTGGCTCTAATGAGAATCAACTGTTATATTCATTGTCATGCAGAGTTCCTGTCTTTCTCTCCCCACCCACACTTCTCTTTCTCTAGGATATCAGAAGCACATTGTGCAGGTATGTGGCTTCACACTCGCAACTAGAGGCACATTTTCCTCAAAGGTGCCCTTGCTTTTTGGGGGGCAGATAGTTTGCCTTTGAAAGCTTTTGGCTTCTGCATTAGACGTTGACCTATACCAGGGGTCTCCAAACTTGGCCCTTTTATGACTTGTGGACTTCAACTCCCAGAATTCCTCACCCAGGCACGCTGGCTGAGGAATTCTGGAAGCTGAAGTCCACAAGTCATAAAAGGGCCAAGTTTGAAGACCTCTGACTTATACAAAGGCTGTTCTTTACAGGCATGGTCATAGGCATGGTCCTTGACCAGCAGAAATCTAGCCTGGCAAAAAAAAAAAAATCTGCCTCAGTGATGTGGTTGGTGGCTATTTCTGCCTTTAAAGAGTTTTCATGTGGGACAATTTAAGGGAAAGTGGCCACCGTATTCTTAACATGTGATGAGTGGGCTTGGACAGATTCCTGGGATAGAAGATTTAGCTGCTTTTCAAGCTTCCTGAGTGATAGGCCATTGCAGTAGATTTTCTCTACATATGTATCCTATCACTTTCAGCTATTTCTGGTAGGGCACTAAACCAGTGTCTCCAAAATTGTCTGTCTGATAGATTGCACATGCACTGCGGGGGAGTGAATTTCCATTTTGCCATAAGCTCCTTCCCTTTCTACATGACCTGATACCCGGGCTATTGCTTGGATAATGGCTTAGCTGTCTTCTAGAAGAGCTCTAGACCCATATTCAAAAGTAACTCACTAACAGGTCACGGGGCAAACAGAGGGATGTGGGGAACATCAAGAGAGAGTAGCCTCTCACTTTGATCTATGCCGTGTGCTGTGCATGCAGCCTGTCCGTCTGTCAGGCGAAGCAGGAGGGTGCAATCAGTAAGGAGTGCAAAGGGAAGGGAGGTTGGTACCTGATTGTGGCCAGCAGCCCCTGTGTCTGACCTGTCGCTCAAGCCGAAGGCAGAAGTCTCTGACAATTTCACCCCACCAGTGTCCCAGGTTAATAAGTGCCACAAAGTGCAGCAAGAGACTGTGTACCATCAGCCCTCTGAAGTAGGCCATGGAGCTCTCCCTGCCACACATACAATAAAACCTGTGTGCAATCCCTTATCAGCAGAAGTAGCAGAAAACCTGTAACACATTCATTTGGGACAAAACCAGCTGGTAGAAATCCTTTTCCTTTAAATTAACCAATAGGCTAGTCCATTTTTTAAACACAACTTTAGTACTCTTGCAAAAATCAGTAGTCTTTAAAATGGCCTAGAACTCTTCCAGGGAAACACAGTATTATGTAAGAGGTCTCTGTAAAGCCCAGTCAGGCAGTAAGGGAGCAGATGCCTCTGTGGCTTCTGCCCTCTTCTACACTGTGGCCCAAAGGTCCATGAAGAGCAGTGGCCAGAGGGGAGAACATATGTCTGCAGCAGCCTAGAATGGCCAAGAGGAGCTAGGCAGATCCCAGCTCATGAGTCTACCATCACCAACATAAGCAGTGAAGCATTGGACGCTATTGCTATAGCAAGTCTTACATTGGAAAGAGGAAAACTAAAATGGGAACAGTTAGATAAGATATCAACTGCCTTCATGGTGGACTGAAATGAGATGGAAGGCAGCATTGTTAGGATATGTTCTGAAAAACAGGTTAGCAAAGGATCTTGGTGCAGAGGCACAAAGATGGGTCCTTCTTGTCAGTTCTGACTACTGTAACTAGGTAGAGATTCTGTTGATCAGCCACAAGTGTTTTAAGAACAGAGTCTAGAACAGGAGTAGGCAACCTTGGCTCTTTTATGACTCATGGTGCTGGCTCAGGAATTCTGGGAGTTGAAGTCCATGAGTCATAAAAGAGCCAAGGTTGCCTACCCCTGGTCTAGAATAACCTGGGAGTTTGAGCTTTCAAAGTACAAGTTCTATCTCTGGAGTCGCCATTTTGAATTTGCTATGGCTATCCTATTTTGCTTCTTTGCTTCTGCTAACTCCATTGAAGGATGTCTCTAAGCTCCTCATGCTGCACAAGAGGAAGTTTTTCTTACTGTAATATGGGGAAAAAAGATAACCAGAAACTGGGAGGTAGATAACCAGGATGGCATTTCAGAGAATTCTTGTCAAACATTTCTAGTTGCTATACAGTACTCGGGCCTAGATGAGTAAATTTTGGAGAGAGGGAAGTTTTGCTGGTCATTTTGAGAGCATGTCCACACAGTTCTAATCAACGTCCTAACAATCCTAATTAAGACTACAATTCAATTTCATACTAATAGCAGTGTATATGCCGCCATTTGGGCAGAAAGTAAAAAATAGGTGAAAAAGCAGGACACACAGGAAACAAGGGAGGACCATGTGTTATCCACATATTCACTAATAAATTTCCTAGGTACAAAATGATGCACTGAGCCATGAAGAAATGATACAATGCCACAGATGAAAGAGACATGAAAAAGGATGCGTTATGTAGATTAACTGAGAAAAACACCAATTCTACCCACAGCAACTATAAATGTCATTATGATGGATAATCAGGAAGAAGAGTCTCTATTGTTTGGAATATTTTTCCCCCCTTTAAGTGCTAGCAATACAGAGACAAAGTCTGCCTCTTTCAAAATACAGTAGTGTCAGTTTCTACTTTGTGCCAAAATATAGAAGAACAGCATAGCATGAGATAGGAAGTTATTAGTTGAAAGACATAGAAATTATTTACTGTTCCTTTTCATGGTGCAATGGTTAAACTTCCTGACAGTTAGAACAATTAACCAGTGGAACAACCTGCCTCCAGAAGCGGTGAATGCTCCAAAACTGGAAGTTTTTAAGAAGAGACTGGACAGCCATTTGTCTGAAGTGGTGTAGGGTTTCTGCCTGAGCAGGGGGTTGGACTCGATGACCTCTAAGGTCCCTTCCAACTTTATTATTATTATTATTATTATTATTATTATTATTATTATTATTATTATTATTATTATTATTATTATTATTATTATTATTATTATTATTATTATTATTATTATTATTATTATATGCCAGTCTAGAAACCAGGAGCCTGGGAGTTCTAGTCCCGCCTTAGGCATGAAAGTCAGCTGGGTGACTTTGGACCAGTCTTTCTTTCTCAGCTCAATCCCCCTCATAGGGATTGTTTTTGTGAGGAAAATAAGGGAAAAAAAGTATTGTGCATGTTCACTGCCTTGAGTTACTTATAAAGTAATAAAGATGGGATAAAAATCTAGTAAATAAAGTAAGTAAACAAACCAACAAATAAATAAGCTACAGCCCACACTGGGCAAAGATATGGCACTTTCTTAGGCCTTGGGTGACAGCTCATACTTGCAAACAAACTACTATTCTGCCTGAAGCATTTTTTCACAGGCAAACAGAAACAGCAGGAAAATGGCATCAACTTGGGAACTAGATCGAAACATCTATTTAGCACCCATATTTATATCAATAGCACCATCACTAGCCCCAAATAACTTTAAAGACAGGATTAGGGTACTATCACATGCTCTTTCTATTTGATAAGTATCATCATCTGTGTAGAATAAACAGGCCAGATTGTGCAAAAGAACGAATAAAATGCATGTTTGACTCTGGTGTACAAACCAGTGCAAAACTATAGCAGTGCATTTTAACCTCCCAGAGCTGTTCTGAAACAAACTCCATCAGCATAATTGAGTAGGAGATTATGGGTCACATATATCAAAAGCTTTCAGGCAATCTCAGATCTTAACATATACAATCGATTTATAACCCATTTCAATAATCAATAAGGTACTTGCAACCTGCATTTGCATAACAACACTGTCTTTTTTTCCCCTCTCCCTAATTTAAATCCATATTAATTTAGTTAAGTGTTTCTCAACCTTGGCAACTTTAAGATGTACGGACTGCAATTCCCAGAATTCCTCACACATCTTAAAGTTGTTACGGGTGAGAAACACTGATTTAGCCACTCCATCCAATTGATGAAGTGAGTTACATTCATGAAAGCTTATGCCTTTTAATAAATCGTACTAGTCTGAAAAGGTGCTGCCAGACTCCTGATTTGGGTTTTTTTTAAAAAAGTAACGGACATATTTTGCCCTTGTGCAACAAGAAATGAAAAAAACAGAGCCTAACTAATTGGTAAAAACTATAGATAATAGCCGAATCCAACAACAGTTTGCCCGGATCTATATAGTGCCTCAAAATTCTACTGTTGTAAAACCAGCTTCAATAATGCATTGAATCTAGATTTATAAGTCCTCTATTTACAACCAGTTGCTTAGTAACTGTAGAAAGATATGATGGACACCCCCCAAAAGCTATTTATGATCTGATTTTGGAGTTAAAATGGCTGCATACCACATCCCCTGCATCATATGATTGCATTGGGTGTTTGGCTACTGGTTCATCTTTATGGCTGTTTGCAGCTTCTTGTAGTCATGTGACTGGTTTTTGACTGTTTTTGCCCGTTTCTGGTGTTTATTTTTGGTTTCTGGGAAATAATGTCCATTGGGTAATATAGATTTGCTTAATGACTGTCACCCCCCCAAATCAGACCCAGTCACATGATGCCTCAACTTACAATCGCAACAACTTATGACCAGAATTCAAGGCTTAATTATGGTTGTAACTTGAGGACTACCCGTAGTAGTGCCTTAACAAATTCAATAAATAAATGCACTGCCTTTACTACTGGGACTCCCATTAACCACGATTAACCCACCATACCAAATCAATGTGTCAATGTGGGGTAGGGGGGAAACTGCTTGAAAAAGGTAGCATATAAATCTTTAAATGTTCTGGATCCAAGCCAGTGATAGGATGGTAAAAAAAAAATTAGAAAGCAAACAGTACATTGATATGGGCATCAATTTAATTTATAGTCAATCCAATTCCTTGGATCTAGACTGCTGGTCATCCCCCAAAAAAGTATTGATGATGTTAATTGATGTACAGCATCTGTTAATAAGGTGGGGCAGTTCATTTATTAAAACTTGGTTCACAGGTTTGTAGATCCTGTAGGGTTGCAAAAGAAAAGACTGTCATTAGAATATTAGAATATTAATACTGTTAGTAAAGCAGCTCGACTCACTTCAGAAAAAATTCTCTTTTTCTAAACAAGAGTCATGCAACCTTTACTGACAATATTAACCATCTTAATCTCCATAGACATCAGCACCATGAGGGAAAAATGATCTGATCCTTCTCTTTCTAGGTTTGATAAGGAGCCCTTCCAAGTCCCAGAGGGGATGCCACTCAAGATGGAAAAGAGACTAGAAGAGTTTTCGGAGAAAAATACGGTGCTTGCAGAAATGCTGAAGAATCTCAAAGGTACAAAAAAAAAATCTGCTATATGAATTACAATTATACTCAGCAGCAAAACAATGTTACATATGTAGGATTCCCCCAACCAGCTGGCTTTACTTTTTTAGGATTCTCTATGATGTTTCCTCCAGTTTTTCTGCCTTTTCCTCTGCTACCTTCAGATAGCTATAGGTAGTGCTTGGCTTACAACCATTTGTTTAGTGACCGTTCAAAGTTACAACAGCATTGAAAAAAGTGACTTAAGACTGGTTTTCACACACAACAACCGTTGCAGCATCCCCAGGGTCACATGATCAAAATTTGGATGCTTGGCAACTGGTTCATAGTTATGACAGTTGCAGCGTCCTGGGATCATAGGATCACCTTTTGCGACCTTCTGACAAGCAAAGTCAATGGGGAAGCCAGATTCATTTAGCAACCATGTTACTACAGTAACTTAACAACTGTCCTACTTCACTAAACAACTGTGACAAGAAAGGTCATAAAATGGGACAAATATCACTTAACAACTGTCTCCCTTGGGAACAGAAATGTTGGGCTCAATTGTGGTCATAAGTCAAGGACTACATGTAAGTAGGCATTCAGGGTTCTCTGGTCAAACTCTGACTTCACTGTAGTATATTTCTTGAAACCTTGGAGGTCCCTTGAAGCTGTTGACACCTCTTTTTTTGCAGTCATATCCTAACTACAATCTAGTTAGCGCTCACTAGCTGTATTTTGTAGTTTCTATTGGACAGAACAACAGGGGGGAAATAATCGGGCTTCAAACTTCTTTTGAAAGTATTACAAAATGCTCAAACAGAACAGTATATTTATTTTTCTCTAGAGCTTCCTGGTGAATGATAATAAGAATCTATGACATATTTGGATTTTATTCATTTCTTTCCATGCAATTTCCTGGTACTACTGCCAATTTCTTTCTGGTTATGTGTAATTTCTATTTATAAACCTTTTAGGTTTCTACAGTGATTTACATTTTTTTTTCTTTTGGCTTATTATCCTGGAAATTAGTCTTCGAGAAGCACTCTAAAAATCTGTGATTTTAATTTGAATAAATATTATAAATGTGTTTAATGTTAAATCAATATTGCCACTTGCAAAATAGATGTATCAGTTAAATCAACTAAAAAAATAATTTAATATTTTTAAAAATACCACCATTATCACAAATTACCCAAATCTCTGAACAGTATTTTTTGGAATATACATAGTTTCTCTCAAATCAAGCTCATCACAGAGTGATATATTTGTTTGTTTTCTTGGTAGAAATAATGGAGTGGTTTAGCACTACCTTTTTCTAGGATATCTTTTTCAACTTCCTGGCATAGTCTATAACCTGGGATTTCTGATAGTCTTCTGTTGACACACTGCCCCTGTTTAAAGATTAGCCAAAGTCAACTAAGTTTTAATACAATAAAACAGTATAGGCTTTTTTCCTGGAAAACTTTGCTCTTCGATACTACCAAAATGGAATGTCTTCAGTCATTCATTGCAAGCACATGGGACTTTGTGCTCAAATTCTAACATTTTAGTCATTTTTAAAATTAACAGCTTCTTCAAAATGAAATGCCCCCTTTATCTTTTTTTTTTTTTAGATACTCTGCCCTCAGAACTAGGAACCGAATGGGGTAAGTATGTGACATTTGAAATAAAGTTTGTTTATGCTTCTTTGGCTCTGCAGGGAAATGATGGCTATTGGTTACAGAAAGATTTGACATGTTAGCTACTTTAATGCAGCAGATTAAGCTTGATGCTTTTACTTTTGATTTTAAATTCTCAATATTCTGTCCGGGTGAATATTGCATGAACCTGGATGTGCTGTAGGTTTACCTTCAATACAGGGAATCCAAGATCAGTCACAGGTGTTTAGCTGCTGTTACCTAACAGGATTATTTGCATTATTATTGTTTTGATAAAACAAGTGCTTATAAAAGGCTAAATTGGAATATGATAACTGGAATTAAATAAAATCTAAAAACAGGACCTGGATATGTATAACTAAAATGTTATTGATAAATGTATAGATTGATTGAACTTTAGCTAGAAATGTACTAATAGGAATGTGATATAATACCTAAGGCTGTGGTGGCGAACCTATGGCATGCGTGCCACAAGTGGCACGCAAAGCCCTCTCTGTGGGCACGCGCACCGTTGCCCCAGTCCTAGGCCTTCAGCTGGGTTTTATAAAACCTTTTCGCTTTAGGCATCTGCCGCTGTGTGCAAAAAAAAAAAAGGTTCAATCAATCAATTTCAACTTCTCATGGGGAAAAAAGATCTCGCAAAGTTGGAATTGATTGATTGAACTTTTTAGTTCCACCCAGTCTGCCGTTACCACTGAAACCACGCCCACCCAATGGGCCACACACACCCAATGGGCCACACCCACCAGGCACCCGACGATACATAAGTGGGTTTTGGGTTGCAGTTTGGGCACTAAGTCTCTAAAAAGTTCGCCATCACTGACCTAAGGGAAATAGAGAGGGAACCTTTATTGATGTAAACTGAGATATCTATGTATCACTCTGTTATTGGATTATTGATTACCCTATCACCACGCTGCTTCCTAATTAGCTGGTTGTTAAAATTTGAAAAATTAATAAAAACAAACAAACAAGTGCTTTCATTTCAATGATCTCATTCATCCTTCCCCTCTTTCTCCCTGCAGTTAACATAACCCTTGACAAAGACACGGCAAACCCCCAAGTCATAATTTCTGAGGATCGAAAAAGTGCAAGATGGGATGTGACTCGGACTGATGTGCCACATAACCCTAAGCGATTCAAGTCCTCTTGTTGTGTGCTGGGTTGTGAAGGATTCACATCTGGGAGACACTATTGGGAAGTCAATGTGGAAGATGGAGGCATCTGGGCGATAGGAGTAGCCAGGGGCTCTGTGAGGAGGAAGATAGAACTTAAACTCACCCCAGAGGAAGGGATTTGGGCCTTGCAAGGAGATTTTGGCCAATACCAGGCTCTCACCTCACCTGTAACTGCTCTGCCGCTCCTTTGTACTCCCAGGAGAATCAGAGTATTTCTGGACTATGAAAGGGGACAAGTAGAATTCTTCAATGCCGATACAAAAGATTCCATCTTCCTTTTCCCCTCAGCATCATTTGCTGGCGAGAGGATTTTCCCCTTTTTTAAGGTGTTGCTTGCTCAGCTGACGCTGGATGGCTGAAGAGCTTCCTTTGAGGAAGATGCACCCGCATTATATCAAATCTGAATTTAAGAGGAGTTTAAAAGAAGAATTATGCATGTTGAATGGAGTTCTGGTCTGCATTAATAGTTGCAAGTACTAAAAAGTGGAAGTGGTTCTCCAGATGTAGTTAGTGTAGATCAGTGAGATAACTTATTGTGTATATGACACTGAACGTGGATGATGTCTTCACTGTAATCTAGGAAGTGGATTAGAATAACTGATTTTAATTATATGGTAGCCTGTAAAGTTGTGTAGTCTTGTCCCTTCGTCAGTTCCTTGTTGTAATAGGTCTTTATCATTTTGTCAAAGAAGATGTCGTAAACATTATCTGATGCCTTTGGACCCTATGGACTGAAAAACAAGGTGAAAATAATAAATGGAGTCAAATAAAATGACAGAAGAATAAGTGCTTTACATAAGGCTTCAACATACTTGACTTTGTCTGATTCTAATGATAGAAACTCATGTTGTTTATTCTGATTGATGACTTTTTATAAGTTGCCTCTGCTAATTACTGATTTGATTTTATTAATATCAGTATAAGATTATTTTTATATACGTTAGTACTAATCTAATTTGAAAATTCTTGTTCAGTTTCACAAGGCTTTTAAATATCTTTTTTTATTCCATTTCTTTTGTTTTCTGATTGTCCTTTTACATAAATGTTAAAATAAAATAAACATTAAAAAAGCAGGTGCTTCAATACTTGTAATCCTGTATTAGGAGATTTGGTGTCTTGTGAAAAATTTGGAGGAATAAACTACAAATGTCTTTTCTGTGGCAAAGCAAGATTTCCTTTGTGAACTTTTCACTGACTTTTTTTCCTTGACTTTCACTAATACAAAATGATATACATCACTTGCATTATCAACCATTGGAGCAGAGAACATATTTACAAACATGCAAACATATGTGCCTACATAAACACATTATATAGCAGTGGTGGCAAACCTATGGCACAGGTGCCAGAGGCGGCACTCAGAGCCCTCTCTGTGGGCACATGCGGCGTCGCCCCAGTCCTAGGTCTTCAGCTGGGTTTTATAAAACCTTTTCGATTTAGACTTCCGCTGCCATGTACAAAAAAAAAAGGTTCAATCAATCAGTCAATTTCAACTTCTCGCGGAAAAAAAAAAGATCTTGCAAAGATTGAACTTTTTAGTCCCACCCAGTCTGCTGCTACCACCGCAGCCATGCCCACCCAATGGGCCACGCCCACCCAATGGGCCACACCCACCCGGCACCCGACGATGCATAAGTGGGTTTTGGGTTGCAGTTTGGGCACTCAGTCTCTAAAAGGTTCGCCATCACTGTTATATAGGCAACAAAAAATGAAACCTTGTTTCGAAGGACCATTTGGAAAAGAAGGTTTTTACATAAAATGGCAGTTAATATGTATGGTGATCTATGTTATATTGTTTATGTGCCATCTGGTCATTTTCATATGCTAATAACCACATAGATTTCTCCATGACAATATTTTCTATCTATATGGTTTTCTTGGTAAAAATACAGGAATGGTTTAGCATCATCTTTCACACTTCATGAATTGATGACTTTGTCACTGTCACCGCGTGTGGTCGTTTGTGTGCTGCTGCCCAGTTATAGCCACCTGCTTGCTTCAAGCTGGGTAGCTTGGATGAGCTTCACACCTTGAGTGACCCTACTGAGGATAAAGACTCTTAGCATGTACTGAAGTTCTTCACACATCACTCCCAGGAACATTTCCTATTACAGCCACAATGAGGCAGCACACCAGAATTGGTGTGTTTGGGGTGAGGGGCGATTATATTATGACGGTGAGGGAAAATGAAAGTAAGTGTGCTTCCCCTTTGTCTAAACTATTTTGGATGCGCGCTGCGGTTCTCTAAATATTCTCCCTTGTTTCTGCAGAGCTGGATTGGTGGTGAAAAAAATCTTATAAACGGAACACATTTCTTCCTCCATACTGTACACTAGTGTAAAAAATAATGCCATCTTCTCGGCGTTGCAACAGACCGACAGGCACCTCTCCCTTCCTCCTCGGGAATCCGGTCTTTTCTAGTGGGGGAAGGAACCCCTCGAGTCCTCGCCCAGACAGACGCTTCCTGGCGCGCAGATCAAGCCTCCCCAAAGCCCAGTGGAAAAGTCCGGTCTGGCGCTGGGAGCGTTTTGCACAGGAACAGAGCCGCGCACTCGTGCAAGAAAATACTCGGCGAAGGAGGCCAGTGCAACCAGCGTCCCTGCCTCCCTTCCCTTTCCAGCCATGGCTACCGGGAGTCCCCTGGAAACTCTGCAGTGGGCTATCACTTGCTCCATCTGCCTGAGCTACTTCAAGGAGCCGTTTCCCATCGAATGCGGGCATAATTTCTGCCAGTCGGGCATCATCCAGTGCTGGGGCCGCTCGGAAGGCGAGAACCCCTCCTGACCCAAGTGCCCCTTGGTGGTCTCGCAAGAGGAGCTTCAAGTCCAACCGGGAGCTGGGCAACGTGGTGGAAGTGACCAAGCAGCTCCGACTGGAGAAGGCCGCCACCTCGCTGGCCGGCCAGGTTTTGCAAGAAACACCGGGAGCCGCTGAAACTCTTATGCAAGGAGGACGAGATGCCCGTCCGTGTCATCTGCAGGGAATCCCGAGTGCATAAAATTGACCCCATGCTCCCCATCGAAGAGGCGGCCCAAGATTGCAAGGTAAAGGGATCCGTCGACTGGGGGAGCCCCACTCTTCGTCCAAGCAGATGGTCTTTCCCAGCTCCATCTCGAAAGGAGGTCCAAGACCCAGAACGGTGTTTGGCAACGGTAGCAACAATGGGTGAACTTGAACTCCCTCAGTCCTCCAGTCCTCCAGCTCACATGCAAGGATGCAAAGCACTGGTCTAGTGGTTAACACACCGTGCTGCCGGTCTTTGGCCCTTTTCTGTATGTAGGAGGGAAGTGAGACTGAATCCGCATGGAGACCTATTGTAAGATTGGTGGGATCTCCTTTAAAATGTTCTCCCTTTGAAGTAACCCAGACAGAAAACTAAAGTTGTAAATGCTAATTATGCTAATCACACAATCTTACTAACTAGTCTGAATGTGCCTCTCCCTTCTTTGCCTTCACCTTTAAGAGAACAAGGGAGAGTAAAGTCTCAGATATTTTCTCAAATTCCATTCTTGCTTTTGACTCTTCTTTTTCTTTTTGACAGTTCTTTTGAATTTTGGTTACTTTTGGTTACTTTAATTTCTAGTGTGCTGTTTTGCTTCATTTGCTTACTTCCCTTCCCCCCTATTTATAAACACTCCACCTAAGAGTGGCATATCAACAGCACAACCCCCCCCCCAAGGACAGCACTTAATAGCATGTCAATTGGCTAATGGTTGACGCCACAAACTGATACCACATTACTTTTATAATGAAGATACTGTTATCAATACAATTTCCCAAATAAGAGGTAATCAAAACCTTATGTTGAATTTTTTCTGTTGAACTTTTTCAGCTCTGATCAAGGTACACTTTTATGAATGTCAATATTGCTGAACTCAGTGTGTTCAGTAATGTGTGGTGTTCAAGACTGAGACATTATACAGAAATTGCAAACTGCCTTTGCAAAAACATCTAAGCGCATCCTAAACAAATATTTTCTCTCTGTTCAGAAAAAGATTGCCATCCACGTGAAAGCTCGGAAGGAAAAGAAGAGAAAAACTAAAAGAATCCAAAGAAGATTTGGAGAGCAGGAGCCAGGCTGATGAGATTGGAGATAGTTATTTCTACTACTCAGTTCTGACGTTTGCTTTGGATACATATTGCACTAAATCATGTTTGCTTAATCATGATGATAGTAAGGAAGAAGGGAGGAAAATGAGGTTGTTGCTGTAGGAGGGTGGATGAGTTCACACAACATGCTAAGCCAAAACAAAACTAATTAAATGGTAAGTTATTGGGACTTCTAATTAGAAAGGAGTCAGAGAGCAGTATTCCATTATTTATGTTATGGTACTTGGCAAGAAGCAGCATTTGTTGTGAGTTGCCCAGCAACTCTTTTAAATAAAAAAAAACTTTGTAGAATGTCATAGAATCAGCTAAACATTCTGCAGCATCTAGACAGTTTGTATTTATGCAATTGCTGTTGATAAGCTCTGCCAGGGGTGTCAAACTGGCGGCCCATGGGCCAGATGTGTCATGTGCAGGCCACGCCCACCCCAGCTCCATAAAGGCAAAAAACACCATGATAAGTCATGATACATCATGTGATGCGATCGAGTTTGACACCCATGAGCTATGCAGTTTTAAAGTGCAATGTCATGTCACCACATCACTTAGTGACAGCAATCCTGGTAGTCTCGGTTGCTGTTATAGCTCCAGGACCTTTATTCAGCCTCTTTCTTACAAGGATTGTGGTGGCAGAGCTCCCAGGCAGCCATTTTGTCTTCCCTTCTCCTTGCCTCCTGCCCAGTGATGCTGTTTAATTGGCAGCTGGGTTATCCTGACAACAGAGGAGATCAAGAAAGGAGGGGAGGGAGCATATAAGGACTTTTAATCTGTTTTTTTTAAACTTTCTATACACACACACTCCTTGATGATGGTTCAAAGTTACGACCACCACCCCAAAACTACATACATCCCTGTTTCAAAGTTATGATAGCTGCAGTGCCCCTGTGGTCATTTGCCCTTATGGCAGACTATGAGGATGTTGTAGCACTCCACATCGCTTCACCCCCATCCCACTGCAACAGGACCCCACAGTTAGAGAAAAAAAAATATTAATGTCCAAATTTTGTGCAACAAAATCGAGAATGCTGTGTGCAAGCTTTAGTTGTCCATCTGATTGCCTGTAAAGGACAATCTACAGACGAGCCTTTAAGTCCTTGCTAGGCTCTACAGTCAGTCAGTTGGATAGCTAAAGCTTGCAAAGACCCCAGTATTTATTTTGTTGCACAAGTCTCTACAGTAATTGGCTAACCTTTGGAGATGAAGTGTTTTTTTCCCCTCCAGGTCAAGAGAAAAAGTTGCAGGAAGATTTTCTTTCCTTCTTGCTTCTTTCCTCTATTCTTCAGCCTGGAGTGAAGGTAAAGTTTTTAAAAGGGATAGAGATTGGAGAGCAATCTTCTGACTTCAATTCTAATGGGCAGGCTCCATTACAGTTGTAACTCAAGGACTACATGTATAATTTGAAAGACTATTCTGCACTTTTATTATTTTTTTACTGCAAATGAAATATTAATACAATATATTATGGGGGGTTTGCAATGTTGGATATTCTGAGCCTTGTTTCAATTGGTTTACTCAACTGTGAAATATATGCCATTCAGAATCATACTGATTGCACTAGCATATAAGCCCTAGTAATAAGTGAAAAATATACATTTTAAAATATATATTTCTCAAGTATCCAATTTTGTATTACTTATGCTAATCATCTTTCCTGTTAACGTTTATTTAGAAATAGATCCTCGGTATTTTGATTTGTCTTTGTTTTGCTTCAGAATATTTAAGATAGCAACACGTTAACTGTTTTTTTTTTAAAAAAACCGTATCTTGAAACCAGGCTCTTTCAAGTCATCCTTGATTTTATTTATATGACCGGTAGTTAAAATGGAT